ATCCGTGAATCTGCTGCCAAGTCTAAACTTCCGGATCGTGAATGGTAGCGAAGTCTGCGGCGAAACGCCCGTCCCGCTCTTTCGACGGGCCTTGGAGTGCCACAGAAATGAATTATGTATAAGGAAGAAAGATGGACGCGAGGTGTACCTGGTCGGTCGGAAGGGGGAGGTGGAGGAGGAGAGGGGGACAAGGCGGAGGGGAGGAAGAGTCGGAGGAGAGGGAGAAGGGGGAGGAGGGGATGAGGAGGGGAGCCCTGACCCCCTCGCTTCGTGAAGGGATCACGAAGGGACGGCTCTGGCCCCTGGGGTCCTTGCCGGGCCCCAATGCTGTCAATCAGCGGCTCGGGATGAAAAGCTGTTTCCCAGGAAGGGCTTCGGAGAACGAGGATGCTAAAGGCGAACGCAAAACTGCCCAACACCTCTAGAACTCAGACAATTCAGTTTCTTCTAACGCCGCGAGAATGTCGGGGGAGAAAGAGGCGGACAGGAGGCCTTCTCAGGGACCCCCCCTCCCAGATAGTCATCTTGATACAGTCGGACTCAGGCCAGAATAGCATCTTTCAAGAACATGAGACCCTCCATCGGCCAACACAAACAGAACATCCAAGGGTACCCTCCCCAACATGCACAAGAACGTCCAACAAACACGAGGAACAAGGGGGTGCAATCACCAAACCGACCTAGATCTTATGACCCGGTCCGTATGGTGTTTTCAGTCCGCTGCCCGAGACGTCCCGACCCCTCCCCTGGACGCTTTTGACGACCCCATTGCCCGAAAACGGCGCCACTCAACGACCAAAGTCGACAAACAACCGCTGGGACTGAGCAGATCACATCGCTGGATATCGGCTCAGAATCGGTACCCGACTCCTCCCAGGGTTCGTCCTGACCTAGGTCGGGCGTGTCCCCCTACCCTACAGGCGGAGCTTGGGCGAAAAATCAGAAATACCCTCCAAATGCCGCAACATAGCCAAGAAATGATCAACAAATAGTCCCCAGACTATTCTTTGACCATTCTTGAATGCTCCTCCTGTAGAAGGGGCAGGCACGACTTAATCCTGACCCGTTTTCTTTGCCAGGCGGATGCAGCCTCGGCGAGGAGAGGCCTCCAGGAGGCCCCCCCAAAACAAACACAATATCGCGAAGGGGAGGGCCGCCGTGGGGCATAGCATCCAGGACTTGCGCCCTGGGACACACAAATAAATGCACACAAATCTAAGGATTCCCAATCTTTTCACATATTTTCTCGGTTTTCGTCTTCCACCCCACTTCCCCAGATTTTCCAATATTTTCTGGAAGCCGACGATTGATTGTGTCTGTGTGCTTCTTACCCTCCTGATCATGGCGCGCACGCATGGATTAGCGATCCATGGACTTGCCGCGCCGTCGCGCAATCCATGGATCGGGGGAGGTGCCCTCCCCAAAATGCGACCGGTGCCGCCTCGCTCGGCGGCGGGAATCCGCGATATCCCATGGAAACGGGACCCGTCGCTAATCCACTCCCCCTCAATCCATGTTTGCGATCGCCTGAATGATCCCCCCACCCAGTCCTCTTCCCTCTCTTGTCGGGCGCAGCGCTAACATGACTTCGGGCTCCGTGGATCTGGCGCGTGGGCGCCAGCACCACGGATCGAAGCATGCCGCCACTGGCGCCTGACTTGGCGACGGCGCGCCGATTTAGCATGGACACGGGGCCCGTCGCTGATCTGCGCGCCCGAACCCATGCTTGCGCTTCCTCGACCTTGGGCGGCCCTGCGAATACCCCCCGCCTCCTCGAGGCCCTCAAAAGGCCGCCCGGCCTCGGCCACCTGGAGCGCCCCCGCCGCGCCGGCGGGTCCGCCGCGGCTCTGGTGCCTCCGCCGCTGCGCAGCGTGGTGGGCGTTGAGGTCAACGACGTCGTCGAAGTCGGCTGGCATGGAGACCAACCGCTCCTGACATCTCAGAAGAACCCCGAGATCCGGGCGTCGCCCCCCAATACAAATTACTACTAATGAGTGTTAGGTCTCCAGGTGCCGTTTCGGGGACTGCGAAACCGCCAGCTGCTCCTCAGATTGACTCAGCGCTCCCCTGATGTGATCTTCACAAACGGGCACTTTGGCCAACGTCCTGGGGAACTCGACCTTCCCGATGCAGGCAATGCTGCACTGCTCGAAAATCCAAGTTTCGGCGGGCTTCCAAAGTACCGTTATTGAATACCCATTGCGGTGACAACACAAAGCACGACGGCCATGGTTTATGTTTTCTGAGTCCTGAGGCCGTTTCCTAGCCCTGGGACTGTAAAAGCATGATTCAGACGTGAAATGCATGCCCTGGGAAGAGGGCGAGATCAACCGGTCCTCAGACTTACAACGAATGCTACGCGCTCGACCATGGGCCCCTTGTTAGCCGTCAGCCTTCTGCGGCAATCGGTGGTCTGTCGGCGGAAATCGGAGGTCCGTGGTGGTAACCACAAATCTTCGGCGGTCGTCCGCGCGAAATCTGCGTAATCCCTTACTTCTTCGCGTCGTGAAGAGATCGTGGCGAACAATTTGTTGGCCGTTTCCAGCCCGCGAAGGCTTTCACCGGGCCCAAAAAATGTCGAGAAACAGCTCGCGACGAAAAGCCAGTCCCCGGGAAAGGGTCCAAGCCTCTCAGAGCCACGCTGCGGAATGAAACACGACGCCTGATGCCTGAAGGCGAAGGCAAGATGAGGATAAACCTGGACGGCGACACATCTGGAATCTTAAACACCTGGCGGGTTCGGGGGACGTCTCGGGCGCCGCGGCCGTTCCAGAGCATTCTGGAACGCTCTGAGATCATTCTGGAAAGCTCAGAGAGCGTCCTGACTCGCTCTGAGATCATTGTATATCTCCAGAACATCTGCCTGAGAGATTGCCTATCTTGTTTTCAGCCCGGGCTTTTTTCGCACTGGCTTGAGGGGTCGCATGCGTCCAGTAGCAATATTGTAAAACGGATATGTGCGCGCCGCTGAGGCGAGAGCCCCATTTTGAAAATGACCCCCCGATCAAAAATTGTAAGGAGGTCTTAAGTCAAAGGCGCGGCCAGCACTGCCGACACGCCGAGGGTTGCGACAGGGAGGAGTTTATGTACGAGGAGAAGGAGGAGAAAGAGGAGGAGGAGGAGGAGGAGAAAGAGGAGTTATCGACAATTATGATGGTGGTGATAATGATGATGCTGATGATGATGATGATGCTGATGCTGATGATGATGATGAGGAGGAGGAGGAGGAGGAGGATCAGGCAGCGGATGAAGAGGAGACGGACGACCGCAGCGGATGAAGAGGAGGCGGACGACCACAACGACGAGGAGGGAGGGGCACCACGTGGCGCCCAGAGGAGTGACACTTCCACGTTCGACCTCACCTCCATCGGCGGGCGACAGAGGGTATTTTCTTTAGGTCGAGAAGCAGCTTTTCTTGCGACTTTCACAAGGCGGCATGCAGGGAGGGGAGGGAGGGGTGTGGCGAGGCCCGAACAAAGATCTGGATGTCACGCGAGTCGGGTCTCACGTGTACGCCTTTTCGGCCCAGCGCTGGTTGAAACGGCGGCCGAGGGTAAGGGTGGGGGGTGCAGGGGGGAAGCGCCATGCAAGCAAACCTGCCCGAGTTTAAAGCAAAACGACCTTACAAGGCATGGAGGAGCCGGAGGAGGAGGACGAGGTCAGCGGAGCGCCAGGGGGTTGGGACCGCCCCGGTTTCTCGAATGGCCTGGTGAGCACGGCAAGAGCAACTCGGGGGACCTGACGTGTAGAGGCCGGGCGAGACTACCTGGGTGAGCATCGACTAACCGATCCCTATCCCAACTTGCGTGGCCTAAGCCCCACTGGCCGACTGACCCCCCAGACGGGAAGATAGGCTGCTCCATTCGGGTTCCGAGGGGCCCATCCCCAACGGGGACGGTGTGATGGCGGGGCTGAGATGCAGCGGCCCGCTGCGGATGGGGATGGGTGAGACGATACCGACTTGGGGGGGGGGGGGCTGCCTGCGCGCAGCCTGGAACCCAGGACCCGTGGCGTCCTCCTCCGGCTGCGGGGCCTCGCCGCCCTCCGCCGGCTCGCCAGCGGCCGCCGGCGGCGCGGTCGGCGTGGCGCCCGGCGCGGGCGGCGACTGCTCAGCGGGCGGCGCCTGGCCCGGCTTGCGGCTTCTGCGTGTCACTACGGCGAGGGCGTCGGATGAAGAGCCATCGGGTAAGGAAGCCAGGGTTTGAAAGCTGGTGGAATGCCCACGGGGGCTTTGCCATGGACATCGCCGCTGCCCTCATCAGATGAGGAATCCTCCGTGGTCTGAAGCCTCCTGGGCGCAGTCTTTGACCAACGCCCACGCCGTATTGAAGCTCCTCTTGTTTCTGTCAATCTGCAAACGCAAGGCTGAATTGACGCCCCGCCCCATATACTCAGGTCATTCAACTTTCCCGCGCAGGCGGCATCATGTACAAACATGTGTGACCATACACGCATATACAATTTTATATGTGTCTGTTATACATACATATAGATTCCTATCTCAATTATCTCACACCAGGAAACTGACACGGATGGGCGGCCCCCCACCCTTCCAAGTAGAATCAGGCGGGCCCCAGAGGCCCCAGGGGTCCCTGAGGCTCTCTCTCTCTCTCTCTGGTTTCCCACTCGGGCCGCCACGTGGGCCTTCCAGACCTGGCGGAGGCTCTCTCTCTCTCTCTGGTTTCCCACTCGGGCCGCCACGTGAGCCTTCCAGACCTGGCGGAGCCACCACTTGGGCATCCCAGGCCTTGCGGAGCGGCCTAAGATCGCTCACGGTAACCTCGACACAAACCCAAATGTCACAAAGAGAGCCCCCATATGGCTTTAGAGGCCCCCGAACACGCCCGCGAGAGACCGACATGTTGCAAACATATGTAGGGAATTGGAAATGTTCGCCCTCTCGCGCCCCTGCCTCCGATGAACCTCCGAGGCTTCACAATGGTCCCCCAAGAGGCCCTCCGACAGGGTCCCGAGGGGCCCTCGAAGACTCCCCAAGGGCCCCCCAAGAAGCCCCAAAGAAGCTCCAAGACGCTCCCAATACCCCCCCAAAGGTCACCCTATACGGCCCCCCCCAAAAGACCGCCAGAGGCTCCCCAGAGGGCCCCAAAAAGTCCGCAAGAGGACTCAATGGCCTGGAACACCCCTCCCCACAGCCCCCCGTCATTCCCACCCCCTCGCACCCAGCTCCTCCGTCCGACTTCCGAGCCCTCGGTGTCCCCCCAGAGGCTATCCAAGAGGCCCCCACGAGGCCCCCAACACGCGCAAGGGCCCTGACGAAACCCCGAAAGGCTCCTAGATGCTCCTAGCAACGTGGCCTCGCTTCCCCTTCTTAGAGATCCCCGCCAGCTTCCCGACCCCCTACACCCCCCGCCTTACCTTCCCAACCCCCTGCACCCCACGACTTCGCCCAAGACGCTCCCATGAGGCCCCCCGTCACCTTCCCAGCCCCCTTGACCTCACACCTCCGACCGGCACCCGAGCCTTATGTTCCCCCACAAGGCTCCCACGAGGCCGCCAACACGTGCTCAAAGGCCCTGTCGAAATCTTAAAAAAGGCTCCCAAAGACTCCTAGCAACGTTGCCTCGCCCCCCTTTCTTAGAGACCCCAACCACCATCCCCACCCCCTGCATCCCTCGCCTCTCGACGCACATCTCGATTCATCTCCACGACCTCCTGGACGGCGCCTTCGCCATGATTGCCATCCACCCCTTAAATGCCCCCCTCATCACAACCCTTCCGTCACCTTCCCAACCCCTGCACCCCGCACCTTCGACAGGCCTTCGTGCACTTTATCTCCCCCACTACTCCGCCCAAGATGCCCCCGCGAGGCCCCCCCCGTCACCTTCCCAACCACCTGCGCCTCTTACATCCGACCGGCTCCCGAGCCCCGTATGTCCCCCCAGAGATTGCCCAAGAGGCTCCCACGAGGCCCCCAACACATGCCAAGAGACCCCGACGAAGCTCAGGGACTTCTAGCAAGCCTCAAAGAAGCCGCCACAAAGACCCCAAGACGCTGCATCGACTCTCCTTCTTAGAGACACCCGCCACCTTCCTGACCCCCTGCACCCCACGCCTTTCGACCCACATCTCAATTCATCTCCACGACCTTCTCGACGGCGTATTCCCAATTATTGTCAACCGCCCCTGAAAGGCCCACCTCACCACAACCCTTCCGTCACCTTCCCAACCCCCTGCACCCCGCACCTCCGACAGGCTTTCAAGCCCTCTCTCCCCCTGAGTCCGCCCACGACGCTCCCACAAGGCGCCCCCGTCACCTTCCCAACCCCTGCGCCCCCCACCCTCGACAGACTTCCAGGCCCTGACGCCACCACGGCCGCCCCGAGCAGGCCCCGCAAGCGCCCCGCAGCGGCGACACCGAACCACCGCAGTGAGCAAGAAACTGGCCAAGAAATCTAAGCAATGAGAAGTACCCCCCCACCCACCCACACACACACACACACACACACACACATTCCAACCCCCCGCGCCCGATCGGGCGCGCCATTCTCCGCAGAGCTTGCGGGGATAGCACGGCCGCCGTCAGTGGCGGCCCATCCTCCCTCCATCGCCCGTGACCTTCCCAACCCTCCCTTCTGCCACTGGGTCGATCGTCATCGTGCGAGTCCGAGGCCATGTGTGCCCCCCCGCGCGTGCGCGGGCGTGCACTGCCACTGGCCCGTGGAGATATGAAAACATCATCGCTGCCGCCCCTCTCATCTTATCGCCCATCGGCGTTGCGCGCCCCTCCCTTCTCAAGCTTCGGCGCGAGCGCACTCCCAGGTGTCCCGCGTCATTCCGCCCCCGAATTCCAACCCCAATCCAGCCCATCGCCGACATCTGATGACGACAGATTCCGGGCGATTCGCACGCCGCGCACTCGCGCACCATGCCAAGAGTTTAAAGCGAAGCGCAGCGAACTTGTATATATATATATATATATGTGTGTGTATACGAAAAACGAGAGAGTGAGAGAGAGTGAGAGAGTGAGAGACAGAGAGAGACAGCAACGAATCCAGAGTACATCGTGTATGGCAGCCCCGTGTTCCCACTTGTCGTTCCATTCATTTTCTGTTTCTCTCTTTCCTCCCCTTACCTCTTCTGATTCCTGAATCATGCCTTTTCCCATGAAGACTTCCCTGTTTTGCGTCTCAGTTCTTTGTTGGAAGCTCGGGGTCTGAAGATGTCCTCTTTAAAGCTTCCTGGGGACCTCTGGAGGCCTGATAGCATCTTGGGGCTTTCTTGCTGCCAACCACGGTTTCCCTCAACGACGGCTCCCCGACGTGGACTGATCTGGGGGGCGCCTTCGTGTAATCTTGGGCCGTCGTAAAGTTTTCCTGTGGCCTTGATGGGCTGTCTTGACGTTCTCGCGGGCCGTCTTGGGGCCAGTTTGGCCCGCTTGGGACGATCCTGATGGCCTCTTCGTTGGCCTCGCTTGGGAAGATCGGAGAAACGGATGCCCCCGAAATCAGTGAGGCATCCATCTGTTTGGCTGGTGGTCTCTTAAGGGTTTTCTTTGGGGTCTTTTCGGGGCGTCTCGAGCATTTCTGATGTCCGCCAGGGACGTCCAGGAGGCCCGGGAACCCGAGGAGACGCTCTTCGGAGGCGTCCAAGAGGAGGGTGTCAAAGAGGGGAGTTCGCAAATCATGGCCCGAGGCACGTGCGCGGCCCAGGAGGGGCCAAGGGACGTGTTGAAAGAGGAGGGGTGTAGCAAATCCGGGGATGTATGATGGTCTGCAGCATGTAGCATGTATGCAACCATCGTCTGGCCGTGCGCGCCCGGCTGCTGCTGCCCGCTCGGTTGCTCGTCGTCGAACTCTTCGGCGTCTGAGCGTCCCTCCTTCCTCTCGGCCGTCCCCCTTCCTCCCTCCTTGCTCGCCGGCCAATTCGCCAGTTAGTGCCCATACTCCAGATCCCTTATTAATCGTCCCCAGGGTCCTGTATTTTTCAGGCGCCTTTTTTGTAACTGAAAAGGGTCCGGTTTCTTAGGGCGATTTCTTTGGATTGGAACTTAGGGGGTCAGGTTTATCAAGGCGCTCCGTCGAAGGGGGGGTCCGGAATATCAGGTCGCATTTGGAGGGGGGTCCGGTTTTTAGGGGGGGGGTCGATTGATAAGGGATTTGGAGTAGCTAGCTTCACGCTAGAACGGATCTCGCCGCGTCGCCGCGGACGAAAACATGTGTGCAGCCATCGTGCTACACCAGAACGAACGCTGCATCAACAAACGAAGGGGCTTCCCCGACCAGGGCGAGCCTCGGTCACGCACAGGTTCCACGATCGGGGTCCTCAGGAGAGGCCCGACAGCCAGGGTGCCTGCTGCGCCCGACGTGGTCCTTCTTGGCTATATATCATGGGGTTTGAATACATTTGCCGTAAATCATTGAACTTGACTAGAAGCCTTTCAGAGTCTTGGCTGTATATGATTGAGTTTGAATAGAAGCCGCACGCCACACACATCGAGTAACTACGCATCTTCCCTTCAGTGCTTCTTGCCTCCCCTCCCCTCCGCTCCTCCACTCGGACCTGGGCATCGCAACGAACACGCGAGTTCGATATGATATGTTCGGCCTCTTCAGGAGCCGCTTCCAGGCCCCATGGGTCGCCAAAGAGCGACTCGGGGAGGGGTCGAGATCACCGTGGGCCCACGTCACAATTTTTTGCAACGCCGGAGGCAAAGGACCGGCCCTTCCCCCGAGCGACATCTGCATGCACATCCCAAAATGTTACTGCCACTTCCTGGCTGGGTGCTATCTGAGGCAGGGTCCCGGCCCACGTGCAACCACATGCAGGTGCCCATGAGCTGCAGCAGCCTACAGTTCGGTCTGTCCTGACCTGCGTCCAGGGCGCGAGGGGGGGGAGAGGGCGGCCGATGTGCTTGGCGGAGGTGGAAGAGGAGGGGGAGGCGGAGGAGGAGGAGGAGGAGGAGGAGGAGGGCCGACGTGCTTGGGCGTTCCGTTCGGTGCCTTGCTCGGGCCTCCTGGGGCGCAAGTCTGGCCAGAGCGCGCCGCAGGAATGGGTTGGAGGGCCGACTGCTTGAGGGGGATGCGGCACAGACGGCCGGCACCACATGAACAAAAAGGCGGCGGCGCCTGGCCAGGCCAGAGGGAAGGATCCCAGCTCTCAGACGCTGTTTTTCCACAATCAGCGCGCTTGCACTGCATGAAGGGGTCCGAGCGGAAGTTGGAAGATTTGGCAAACATTTCCCGCCGATTTTGGTAGCAGGCTGGGTTCCCGGGCTCCCGGGTTCCGGGTTCCGGGTTCCCGGCTGGTTCCGGGCCTGGGTTCCCGGGCTCCCCGGTTCCCGGTGGATCTCCTCAGCGTACCATCCATTGATTGGGGTTTTTCTCTGGTGTATTTTTTTCCCTCCCGGCGGTATTCGTCAATTTCGGCCCGGGGCCGCCAGCGGGCCCCGGGACCATTGAAGACGGCCTGGCACGGAGAACTATACGCCGTGAAGGGGTCGGGACCTCTGGGGCCGTGCAACGAAAAAATCGAATCGTCGGATGTCTGGGGAAAGGCCTGCGCGACGCCCCGGGCAGCCTCCTCCGCGGCGAACAGCCGCGAGCGCAGCTCACCCACGTTTGCACCGCCGCCGCCGCCACGTCATCGCCGTCCTCGTCGCCGTCGTCCGACTCGCTGTCGGCCTTGTCGTCACCGACTCCGTCGCCGTCGTCATCGTCGTTTATGTCGTCTTCGCTGGCCTCGCAATCGTCGTCACCGTCCTCGTCGCCGCGGCTTCCATCCTCGTCGCCGTCCTCCGCGTCCTCGCCGTCCTCCCTGTGCTCTTCGTCGTTCCATCTGACATCGCGAACAAAAATGAAACATCGTCAACAATCACAACCAGAGCCCTTCACCTCAATCTTTATGTGCCATCTTCCAGGCCAGGTCGATCTGTGAGGATCCCGGGGCCCGAGAGCTGGGCGAGCACGCCTATATTGCGAACTAACTGCAAAGCCAGGACCTCAGGGTGGAGCTCGTCGTGCGTAGAAGGGCCCTGGGCGGCCTCCTCCGCGGCGAACGGCCGCGACCGCAGCTCGCTCACGTACTCCCCGAGCTGCCGGCGCTGCTCCTCCGCCCGCGCGCTCGCCTCGTCCAGCCCGGCCTGGGGGTCGGCTGGCCCGAAGGGGAACGACGGCGGCCACGAGGTCGCGGCGGCCTCCCCCTCCTGCTCCTGCTCCTCCGCCCTCCGCCCTCCGTGCTCCTCCCCCCCCCGCCTCCGAGGAGGAGGTCGAGGCAGGGGGGAGCTCATCCTCCTCCTGCTCCTCCTCCTCCTCCTGCTCATCCTCCTCGGTGCACCAGAAATCCGCGGCGGCCGATTTGATGACATCATCGGCCTCTGTATGCCGCGTCACAGCTCGGATGCCGCCAAGAAGCGACTCGGGATGACAAGCAGGCTCCAGGGAAGGGGTGGAGATCCCAAGGGACCCACGTCAGGCATAACCTGCGACGCAAAGGCAGAAGGAGAGGGAGGAGGTGGAGGAGCAGGTGGTCGACGTTTCGTCCACTCCTGGAGGTCTTCTCGCCTCGGGACGCCTTCCAGCAGCTGCGCCTCGTCGACACCACTCCAGGAGTGCCCGACTCGATCGTCCCGATCGGCCGACAGAACTGTCAGTTCCGGCGCAAAAGCCAGAGCTCCTCGGGTTGTGGAGCAGCAGCAGCACGCCATATTAGTTGTTGGCTTTCATTTGCCTCCAGGCGACTTTGTTAGGCCCTGGGGCCGTCAACACACGGCTGGGCATGAGAAGCCTATCCAATGCGAGGGGGTCCAGATCTTTGGGACATGTTTTGTATTAGACCACGACGTCGGATGCCTGGGCAGCCCGACGACGATGGCCGGCGGCGACAATGCGGACGATGGCGACGGGACCGACGACGAGGCTGACAACGAAGCAGACGCTGGCGTCGGCGACGGGGCAGGGCGGGACGACGACGTTATGCTGTCATGATTGTCTTTTTCGTCGTCGCGATCGTCATTGCAGCCGCCGTCGTGATCGAATGAGCTAGTGAGGAGTGAGAAAGGCAGGCGGCCCCAGCATCGAGCCAAGAAATCGCACCAAATCGACCTGAACATCGAATCAGCAAAAATCAGCGGAAAACGGGTGACAAACCGAATCGGCAGAAGTCGGCGGGGCAAAACCGGATCGAACCAGAATCTGGATCGCGTCAAGCAAGATCGGCATCGACATCGAGAGGGCCCCTGGGGGCCCCTTGGAAGTGCGAGTCCGAACCGAGCCGAGCCAGGGTATTGCTGCTGGGGTCTCCCCAGGCCCCCGCAGGTAACCGACTCTGGACCCCCACAGGCCCCCGCCGCCCGCTGGCCGCTGGCCGACGGGCGACGGCGGCGGCCGCGGCGGCGGCGACAGCGTCAGCGGCGCCGACGGCGAAGGCAGAGGAGGAGGAGGAGGAGCACGCCCGCAGGTCAGCGACACCGCGCTCGTCGTCGTCGTCGTCGTCGTCGTCGTCGTCGTCGTCGTCGTCGTCGTCGTCGTCATCCTGGTGTTAGTTCGCCCAGCTCTGCAGAGGCTGCGTAGCGTCAAGGACGTAAGAACCTGAGTGTTGGACGGCCTTGTCGGGCGACAGGGTGGCACCAATCGAATGTGTGGCTTCCTCTAGCTGCCAGGCTGCTAGCACCACTCCATCGACACCCCGTTTATGCGAACCGATGGCCGAGATCGACGAGTTATCGATGTACAACTTGAAATCGACGCCTAGGGGCCGAATCATGTTGTCGAGAACTTCGATGCTGTTAATTCTGATCATGATGGTGGCCAGCGAGCAGCCAGCGATAACTCCTGACAAAGCGTAGGCAGCTGCAGGCAGTAGCCCGTCCAGGGCCAAATATCTCGCAAAGGAATATGCAGCAATGGCCAGCCGAGCAGCAGCGAGTGGGAAACGAAGCTTGGCACATTGATGCTCTAAACGCTGCAACGACAGCGACTCATAGTATTTGACAAAGTCCCAAAGCAGACTGACTGCGTGGTCACCTGAAGCTGTACCTGCCTCTGCTGCTGCAAATTGACGCCACACCGTGTCTCCAGCTCCTGTGAATGTTCCACCAACAAAATATGGTCTGGCGTTAGCGAGTTCCCATTGCCGAGCGACCGGACGACGAGCTTTAGCCCAAATGCGATACATTGAACAGAACACACCGATGGGTCTAAGACCAGTAGGGAACTTGGGAATAAGGTGAAGAACCACATAGGCAATCTGAACGGGGAACAGGCCCGAGACTTCCATGGCAGTGAACAATTTGAGCACGCAAGCAAGGGAGTCGTCCGAGAGCCACCCGTAGTGACGAATGTGAAACCCACCTGACGCGACGGCCGAATTTATCTTGTGAGACAGGCACAACTTCCTGAACTCCGCCACATCAAGAGGAAGGAGCGGGTCAGCAGGTCGGAAACTCGCTGGCACAGGAGGAGGTGTCGGAGATGACCGCCATAAAGCCTGAAACTTCCGAGCCTCGTTGCATAACATATTCTGAGGGTCACTAACTATCTCGCCCGAGCTGGAAAACACAGTGCATGGCTGCTACGGAACGGGGGGCTAGGTGAACTTGTGCGCATTCCGGGCACCCTGGTCAAACCTTCTCAAGACCCAGGCACGCCAGGAGGCCGACGCTTCAGCACGCGCCGTTTTGAAACTCTCGTCGAGCGCAAGCTTGACGGACGAGTGAAGGTCCAAAACCTTGACACAAAGACTGCTCACACCGGAGTTTCGGGAGGCCTCCAAATACATCTGAAGAACAGCGTCAAACAGAGGCCGAAAATAATCCTAGTGACGGAGGACGGCGGTGGGGACGGCGAAGCCCGAAGAGATATCTTGCTGCAGGTCTTCGTGAGACGGATGTTGGACAGCGGCCTGCAGGGCAAGGACAGACTTCCACAGCCACCTGATGGTTGTGAGAGACGGGTGACGAGATCCTTGACTGTCACGGGCATACACAGACTGCCAGACAACCGTAGGGGCTTAGGACCTGGTTCCGAACCTCGGGAGAATTACTCCCGCAGCTTCCACAACCTCCCGCTCGGCTCCGCCAGCCCAATGCCCGCAGGCCTCAGCAAGCAGCCTGTGAGTGTCGGGGCCGTGACCAGATTCCGCGGCCTCTAGGGCCCGGTCAAGACGCGCACTGGTGGCCTCGTAACAGGGAGGGGGGCTCACTGGGCCCACCAAACGATCAAGAGGGATCTTTTGGGGGGCGCGAGAGGGTCATGGCCCGAAGATCGCCGATCTGGGGCCAGAGGGTGAGCCGAACTGGCCAATGCGGGGAGGTCTCCGCCGCATAGGATTCCTCGACCCGCGATACAGACTTGATGGCACTACTAGGGCCAGCGCTGCAGAGACAATAGTCATCCGTCTTCAGCCCGCCAGTAGTGTGGCATGTGCCCGCAAAGTCGGGGAATATGAGGGTGCCTCCTGACTCCTTGGTGCAGCCGTGGTCGTGGAGCGAAGCGGGGGCCATGTTGGAATCCCCACCTAAAATCCACGGGGGCGGAGTCGACGCGACCGCCGCTACTGCATCCACACGTAGGTGAATATTATGTATGACATGCCCTGGTCGTCGTAGAGATAAATCGACGTGACTCCCAACTCTGTGCCACCAGGTACGCAGACAATGCCAGAAATAATGCGATTCGGTTCGTTCCAAAATACACCCTTGTGCTCGTGGAGACCCAGGAAGGCCCGAGTGAGGATCGCCACCCCGCCGTAGGATCCGTTCCCTTCCCCGGGAGACGCAGGGCCGCAGAGGGACCGCCACCCTCTGCGCGGGGCCTATTGGCTGGCCTCGTTGGTACGCTCATAAACGAGATGATACTCCAGATTTCGTAATAAAAAGGGAGGGGGTCTGGACCCTCCAGGACAAGCCATTTCAGACCTCCCCCGTGGGAGAACCCTCGAAAACATCGTCCCCAGACCCCCCCAGGCCCTCCAAGATAGCCTGGAAGAGACCCCCCCCCCGAAATGAGACCCCCCTCCCTTTATTACGAAATCTGGAGTACCCTTGCATCAGAATGACGTGAGCGGGCGTGGACATTACAATGTTGTTCCCCGATCCCCGCCCCGAGACATTGGCCGTTTCCACAGTGAGGGCCACCGAGTCGACAGGGCCATCAAGGGGGGGAGGCCGAGGATGGGCAGGAGACGGAGCTGGGGACCTGAACCCAGAGCCCTTGGAAAAAGGCCTCAGGATGGAGGGCGCCGGGGACTGAAACCACTGCACACGTTGCCAAAACTTCTGTACCCCTACTGGGGGGGTCTGCAAATCATTACTTGGTAACAGGCCCCCCTGCAGCGGCATTCTGCTCCGCTGCAGGGGGGGATTGATTGGACGGCGGCTGCGACAAAATAGCGGCTGCGGCCTCACGAGTCGCCTTCCAAGCTGCAACTTCATCGTCGTCAGCCGCGGGAGGCTGGGCGGGGCCAGGGTCTCCTGCGGGCTCTCCTTCAGGCGTCGTCGGGGCAGCTGCGGCGGTAGCTGCTGGCGGGGCATCGGCGCCCGATGGTACTGCTTCACCGTCGGCACCCCGACGGCGCTTCTGTCGAGATAACAATCTGGAGTGGGCCTCCTTGGCATCCTTGGCCGCTGCAGCTGCATCACCGAAGAGCTTCTTGACCTGCTCACGGATGTGCGTCTGCAGCGTCTCCATGCGCTTGGCAGCTTCCTGCTGAGTGTCAGGGCCGACTTCATATTCTGAATCATCAACTTGTCCAAGAAGGCCCAAACTGATCGGGATAGTGTCGATCTTGCCTGCGATAATATCGTCAATACTAATCTCGAAAAGGCTTTGGAGGAGCTTGCTTGTGTTCTTTGGCTGGCGCGACAGAACGGTGCAACTGCTTGACCAGAGATGTGTACACCTCCTCCGCTTTTGATAGTTCACCACTGAACTGGGCGACCCACTCGCGCTGCTGGTTGAGTTGGGACTCCAGCTTCTTGTAGTGGCCGACCGCGCGTTCCAACTTGGACTCGAGTTTCCTGGCCGTGTTGAAAGCCACGCTGGCCTGCTGCTGGAACGGGGGGGGGCTTGGGGGTCGAAGTCGCGGCGCGCCTGCTGTCCAACAGGGTCTTGCACGACTTGGCGCCCTCCGTGTCGCCAAGGCGGGTGAGGAGGTCGACCGTCTGCTGAAACTCTTCCACGGTGGTGGTGCAGCTCGGGTCGGCGCGGGGCTGTCCAGTGCCTGGCCCCACGAATTGAGCACCAGGGCGGACAGGAAGACCAGGAGAAGGAAGCAATGCGCCCGCGCTGGAAACACCCGCGTCATCGCATGACCCTGACCACGCCTTGCCCCGCCAGTCCGTACGAGATGATCCAACCCATGTCCCCGACGGCGGTCCCCAAGCCCAGCTGCCGTGGGCGGGCCGAACGTCCTTGGGCGAGACCTCGGTGCGGTATGTGCGACAGTGTTTGCAGCGCCACCACTTCAGCAGGCTCTTTCTGCAGCCGCAACTGGAGCATGTCCACTTGCCTTCCGAGGGTGCTGCATCGCCGCTGGGTGCCATGGACTGAGGAAAATGCCTGATCCCTCCGTTGACCTCGGTAGAGGCCCTCAAGCAAGCACAAAGGATTGGTACAGCCGAGGGATAATTGACTGAGTGCTGCAAAAAGGAACTCGAGCCAAAAGTGCTTGAGAGACGGACGAGGAGGAGGAGGCGGAGGAGGAGGAAGCCCACGAGGTTGCAGTGCGCGACTGCCGACTTGGGTCGGTTCGGGGCCTGCAGCGCGGCCAGGGACCTCCGCGCCTCCTCCGTCCGCAGCGCCCACCGGCCCGGGTGGCCGGCCGGGTCCGCGGCGGGGGCCCCGCTCGCGTCGGGCTCCGGTGGGGCGTCCCCCTCCTCCTCGGGGCGCAGAGAGGGGGAAGGAGGAGGAGGAGGCATTTTTTGTTCCCCCTTCTGTTTTGTTCCTCCTCCTCCTCCTTTTGATTCAGTGCCTCGCTGTGGACTTCGTGCTTCGGTGCCGTCGGGATGAGGGATGAGGGGTGAAGGCTCAGATATTCGACAACATGTTTCTGTCAACCCGCGTCCTTCCTTCGATTTCGGTCCTAGGGGGCCGCTCTGGGGCCCGAGGGCTATCAGGCATGAGTCCGCGAGGCAAAGCTACCCAGCGGGAAGCGGTCCAGACCTCTAGGGCTGTGGATTGAAACATCATGTCGGCGGATGTGTACGAGAAGGAGGAGGACTGATTAACCATGACCTTCCTCTGCCACCAGTTCGCTCGAACGCAAGGCTGTCGACCGCCACCCCAAATCCCTCGGGCCGAGAGTGACAGCCTCGAGGAGTGAGGCTCCATCCGCCCGTCCTTGTTTTTCCATCGTATGAGGAAGAAGGAATCACGGATGAGGGAACAAAACGCCCCCGCGTGTCGGGCTCCGAGGATGCGTTCCTCTCTCCTTCTCCTCTTCCTCTTCCTCCTCCTCCTCTTCCTCAGGGCGCCGATTGGGGGCGAGAGGAGGACGTATGAGGCATGCTGGTATTGATGATGATGACGATGAGGAGGAGGAGGAGGAGGAGGAGGAGGAGGAGGTAGAGGAGGAGGAGGAGGTAGAGGAGGATATTTAACATGAACAATCCCCTGCCATCAGTTTAATTGGAATAAAAACAGTCGGCCAGCACCCCGTCTCCCTTGAGCCGAGGATGACGGCCTCGCAGGATGAGGCTCCACGCGTCCCTGTTCTCCCCTTGTGGCCTGAGGACGACGAGGAGGAGGAAAAACAAGAGGAAGTGATATTGGAACCAGAAGGAGGGAGGAGGCCCCCTCTTGTTTCGGGCTCCTCTTGGTCGTCAGGGGCGTAGAAGCAAAGAAACAGAGAGACAAACAGCTACACATGAACCATAACTTCGGAGGTCCGCGCGAATTTCTGGGATCGGCGCTGGGCCTTCCTGGCGGCGCCTGCGGCGACGACCCTGGCGCACTTCGTGCGCCAGGGAGAAGAGGAACGGGGTTGGTGATGGGCATGGTCTGGCCAGCACGGCGTGCCAGCTAGGACCTTCAGGCCAAGCTGATAATTAGTCCAGAGGGGACGATCAGGAGCATCATTAGAATTCGACCCTGCGTAATAGATGTCCACCCTGCACTTTGGTTTCTGACACCGCGTGGACCGCTGAATCTTGAGCGATCCTGGCTTTCCGACAGCGCAAATCGTCCAGCGCGCTGGGGTCGCCGCCGCGTCGATAGAACGTCGAACTGGAGCCACACCAGAACCAGACAGATCCGTCAGGTCGGCCCCAGAAAAAGTCTCCAATACGAGCACCTACGGTCAGGGACTTGTGCTTAGCGGGTCGCGACGGCGGCCCTGGCGACACGCTGTGCACTCGCGAGCTGATAGCGCGTCGCTCCGCTCAGCAGAACGGGAGGCCTGGAAGATTTCGGGTCGTTGACGCCTGGGGCCAGGGACGTGGTTGGCGTGTCGCGCCGGAGCGCTAGTGGGACAGAACCCGCGGTGCGGCACGCTAAGAAGCCCAAGCTCCTGACGAGAACGGCGCCCGTGCACCGTACCATGGCTGGACTGCCTTCGGGCCCCGCTCCAACGCTCTGTGCTGCGCACAGCTGTTGAGGCTCCGAGGGTCAAACAAAAAGCTGTGCACCATGCCCCTCCTGGGGCGAGGATCGACGACGACTCGCGAGACGCCAACGCGGTAGTGCGCGCACGCACAGGTCGCACACGGATTCCTGACCGTCACCGAGGGTGCCGCCCCAAGCGGCGTCCCTGGCCCGAGTGGCGCGCGCTGAGCCCCGAGAGACGTCGGAGGGCCGAGGCCTCGGGCTGTGCGCCTGCACTGGTCGAGGCCAGGCCCTGTGCACACACTTCTTCTTCCTCCCTGGTTCCTCCTCCCACGTTTCTCCTCCTCCTCCCCTCCCCCTCCTCATCCTGTTCCGCCTCCTTCTCCTCCTCCGCCTCCCTCGTGATTCCTCCTCCTCCTCCGCCTCCTCCTCCTCCTCCTCTTCCTCCGCCTCCCTCGTCATTATTCCTCCTCCGCCTCCTGCTCCTGCCCCCCCTCCTCCTCCTCCCCTCCTTAAACCTCCTCCACCCCCTGTACGCTCTGTACGCTGTTGGCTCCAGTCGATCGCGACACAGCCCCTGCCCCACCCCACAATGGCCGCTGCACCTGGTTAGGGTTGGTCAATCTAGGATATCTGCACCGGCAACCTCCCCAGGGGCAGGGTAGCTATGGCCCCCTGCGCTCTGGGGGGGCAGGAGAGAAGAGAAGGGCTCGCACTGGCGAGGAAGAGAGCAGGAGGTGGGGTCAGGCGGCAACTGTGGGCAGCAGTTCAGGCAGGTGCGGCGGCGGGCAGTTCAGGGAGCGTGTCTGTGGCCACACTCGCAAGGGTGGTATTGCACAAGAGCTTCTCTCCTGTTACGTTGCTCCCATCGTACTTAAGGACCACATCCCAGAAATGATCTCGAGCACCCAGAAAAGTGTCGAAACAGTGTCGAAGCAGTGTCGGACGAGTGTCTCCCAGGGCCCGACACGTGAAAACCCTTTGAATTTCGGTGCTTTCCTGGTGCTCGAAATTCTCTCTGGCGATCAAAGCTGAAGTAGGAGGAGGAGTAGGAGGAGGAGGAGGAGGAGGAGCAGGAGGAGGAGGAGGAGGCAGGTTTGAACATCAGAACTCTCCTGCCGCTGCGAGGCCCCAAGGACGCCACCCCCAGCCCCACCAAGAAAGGCCCCCTCACCCGCCAAGGCAGGCGACGGGCTCCCAGGCTTAGGTCGGGCATGTCCCCCTACGGGGGGAGTTTGGACGAAAAATGGAAAATGCTCCCAACATGCTCAAACATGGCCGAACAATGCTCAAAATATCATCCCCTGACTAGAGGGACAGGCCCGACTGAATCCCAAGCAGAAGCTAGGGGGTAGCACCGGGTTTCCACCAAGCGCGGGGAGGCTTGCACCATCCCGTGGCGGCGGCCACGGGAGGCGCTGTATCGATCCCCCTCCCACGTTGAAACCGAGCGCTTCCCTGTTAGCAGCGGCTGCTGCATGCAACGTGGTGAGGGGAGGCTGAAGCCTAGGGTGAGAGAGGCGCGGCGGACGGCGCAAACGGTGCGAGAGTTGAAAGATGGAGCGAAAGAGAATGTGATGGCAGGCAGCGGCTCGGTGGGATCGGCCGCCCTGGCCAACACCAGTGGCGGTCCTAGCGGTGGGAGGAGTCCGCTCTGGCCTTGTCAGATCAGGCGGTCGCAGCGTTGCTCTCCAACACCCCCCTCTCCAGGAAAAACCGTCACCTCCAAAGTACCCCGCAAGGAAAGTGAGAGTTGGCCAGGGAAGGAAGTAAAGGTAGCGGCGGAGGACTGCGGTGGCCAAGCTGAGCATCTGTGCTGATTCGATTGCATGTTGGCTCTGACCTGGTCGCTGGTGGCGAGCGTACCGCTCCACCCCGCCCTGCGTAGGCGTGTGGCCTGCGGCGGAAGCAACACATTGGATGACCCCTCAAACCGACACTTGAAACGGTGGGTAGGCATGGGGTGTGGATAGGATCTGAAGGATCGGCGGCAAGTGGGATGCGGCGCCGGCGGTCCGCATACCGAGACAGAGATGCGTAGATGTCGCAGGCCCTGCTGCTGGCCGCGGCTGCCCTGGCTGACGCCAAGGCGGCTGGCGGCCGAGTGGCCTGGTCAGTTGCGTTGCGTGGGCAGCGCTGCTGGCTGCGGCCGCCCTGGCCAACGCCAGGATGGCCGGCGGCGATCTCCGCCCTCCCATCCCACTCCTCCTCCTCCTCTTTCTCATTCTCCCTCGTTCCTCCTCCTCCTCCTCCTCCTCCTCCTCCTCCTCCTCCTCCTCCTCCTCCTCCATGCTCCCCACCCCCAGCGTATGCACCGATCTGGGTCGGGGGGGCCGTGTCTGCGTCGGAGTGGGGACGCTTGCCCTCGTCGTCGTCGCCGCCGCTGTCGTCCTTCGCCTGGCCAAGGCCGAGGGTGGTCCGCAGGGGGGTGGGGTGCGCCTGGGAGACTTGGCTGGGTTGCGCCGTCGCCCCCTCCCAGCTTCCTTGTCTCTCGATCGGCGTGGAGCAGAAGGGTCCTTAGCGACACGGGTCACAGACCCCGGGGCATTCCTGCGAGGCAAGGATTTATCCATATCCACCGCCTGGGAACCAACGTCCTGGTGCCCCATCGGGCGGTGGATATGGACACAGTGCGGCCCCCAGAGGGCCGAACATGTCCATATCCACCGCATGCCGAAGCTGCTAAAACTGACCCTCCAGGCGGTGGTCATGTATAAATTCCCGCCTCGGAATTCCCCAGAACAAGTTCTTCATCCTAGATCATTTCCCTACGCCCCCCTGGCCCGTGCAGGGCCCAAGGAGGCTCCAAACGCCAGAACACCTCGGGACCGGTGTCCGTCGGGCCCAATTGCCTCTCGAACCGTCGCCCGCAGCCTGCGGCTGCCAGCGTTGGACCGCCTCGCTGCAGTCCCCGACCTGTCGACGGCGGCGTGAGGGCACGACGCGCAGTGTAGCAACAGCCAGGCGGCGGATGGAAGGGCTGGTGGTGCACCTCGCACAGTCGAACCGATCTCTGTCCTCACGGGCGTGGCCTGGGCCCCACAGGCCGATTTACCCCCCTAAGATGGGGATCTGGGCTGTTCCCTTCGAGTTTCGAGGGGCAGATCCCCAACTGGAGTGGTGGGATGGTGGTGATCGGGATGGGGATGGAGATGGAGATAGGGATAGGGATCGGTTAAACGATACTACAGAAATAACATAAAGTAACAGGAATAAGAGCGGCAGCGGAGCAAGGGAAGGCTGTAATCCCAGACATTTGGTGCCATTTTTCAGCTCTCTGACCCAGAGCATTGGACCGAGAAAGAAGAGGAGAAGGACTAGGTCGGGCCTTTCCCCTACAGGGGGGTCTTGGGCGAAAAAAAAAAGAAACAAGCAAATGCCCCAAATAGCAACAAAAAAATCAAACATTCGTCCCCAAACTATTGTTTGACTACGTTTGAACATTCCCCCTGTAGAGGGGCAGGCCCGACTTAAGAGAGAAGGGGGTGGAGGGATGAGGAGGAGGAGGAGGAGGAGGAGGAGGAGGCCGCCCCTCCTCCCGTCGTTCGGTCATTACTTCTCTTCTCGGGGGTTACAAAAAGGGGGGCGTCCAAGAGGGGTGTGTGCAAATCATGGCCGGCGGCATGTGCGCGGCCCAGGGGGGGGGGGGCCAGGGACGCATTGAAACAAGAAGAGGCGCCACGAAATCTGTGGGAATCTCATGGCTCCCGTCATGATATATCCCCCCCTAGCCATCACCCCCCTCTCTGCCGCCCCCGACCTTCTCTTCTTGCCTCGCTCCGGCAGCGGCCGGGGCGAGGCCCACCGACGGCCTCCGTCGTCCTCTGCAGACCCATCCGCAGCCCGAAGCTGCGAGGTAGGCCGCCCGCCCCCGCTTTGCCCCGCCTCTCGGCGCCCTGCCTGCCGCCGTCGCCCCGCGAGGACCTCACCCAGGCTGGGAGCCAATGTTATGTCGGGCCTGTCCCTCTACAGGAGGAAGGTTCAAAACTGGTTTAAAAAACATAGTCTGGGGACTGTTTTTCGCATCTCGGGATTATTTTTCATGTGTTTTGACTAGTTTCATGTTTTCTTCGACTGTCGGCCTGTAGGGGGACAGGCCCGACCTGAAGCCAACGCCTCCGCCCTCCCAGGCCAGGGCGTTGAGGACGCGGCCGCCCACGGCGGCGGCGAGGCCGAGCAACGACCGAGCCGACCACGGGGCGGCCATCGAGCGAGCCCCGACGGGACCGCAGGCAGCCCGAAGGAGGGGCGCGGCGACGCGGCCGCCCCCCGGGGGGGGCACGAGCAGAGCTACCGATGCCGCACCTCCCGGTGCCTCTCCCTGGGCGCGTCCTGGCCGGCTCCAGCCTCGGCGACGAGGGAAGAGCAGCGGCATCGGCACCTCTCTCCTCCTCCGCTGGAGCCCTCCCATGTGGGGTCCGAGCAGGGGGCGTCGGAGGATCACGCCGCATCGCCAGTGTCTCGCCGATGAATCGGCGATGAATGCGATGCACTGGGGCCGTCGGTGTGGATCACATCGGGCTCACATCGAGCCGCATCGCCGATGCTCCGACCCCATCTGTTATGATCCCATCTGGGAGGCCTGGATGGGTCTGAGCCCTCACCCTGAAGGCCTGAAGCAGGCCGCTCCTCCGCGAGTCGCCGGGACGACCGGACCGAACGCAGCCGACTGCGACGCGGCCAGGACGACCGAACTGCGGACGTCCGTGGATGATCATCCTGACACCGCCCCCAGAGAACCAAACTCCCCTGACCTCTCCCGGGCTGCACCAGGACTTGGAGGCGAATCCAGCCGTGGCGACAAAGGAAGGGTGACGATATCATTCCAGCTCCTCTGAGCTCTCGCCGTGAAGGCTTGAGACAGGCCGCTCCTCGGCGAGTCGCCGGGCCAACATGTCGCGCCGGATCTGCCGCGCCAGCTCCGCGACCTCCGAGTCGTCGTCGTCGCCACCCGGGCGGCCGAAGCGCGCGGCGGGGCCGCCCTCGAGCTCCACCTCCGGGCCTGACGCCAGCAGGGAGGGGGGGTGGGGGAGGAGAAGATCGTCCTTCCTCGCACGCTGCCAGTTTAGTTGTCCAAGCCCCAGCGGCCAGACCTACTGTTGCCAACCGTCCTGTGGTGTTGGGCCCTCGAATTGGAAAGGGATTGCCTCGCGTGCCCCCCTTCCCCTTCCTCCTCCCCCTCCTCCTCCCCCCCTGCCTCTGCCCTACGCATGTCCACGTTTCGGCACACCCCCTCAAACGCTTCGTGGCCCAGTAGGGACCGCCACCGAAGGCCCCAGAGGGAGGGTCCAGATGCGGCTCCCCGCCCACCGCATGTCCGGTCGGCGCACCCCTCCAGGCTTCGTGGCCCCATAGGGAGCTCCAACTGAAGGCCCCCCGTGGCAGGGTCCACGTGCGGCTCCCCACCCACCGCATGCCCATTCGGGCACACCCTCCCACGCGTCGTGGCCCGAATGGCGGGGTTCATATGCGGCTCCCCGCCCACCGCACGTCCATTTGGGCACGCTCCCCACACGCGTCGTGGCCCCATAGGGAGCTCCACCGAAGGCCCCAGTGGAAGGGTCCACATACGGCTCCATGCCCGCCGCATGTCAATTTCGGCACACATACACACAAACACCCCTCACACGCTTCGTGGCCTCATAGGGAGCGCCACCGAAGGCCCCAGTGGCAGGGTCCACATGCGGCTTCACGCACACAGCATGTCCATTCCATCGCACCCCTCGGGCGCTGCCTCGTGGCCCCACCACCTGAGGCCCTAGTGGCAGGGTCCACATGCGCCCCCCCCGCCCGCCGCATGTCCATCTCGGCACACCCCTCGTACGCTTCGTGGCCGCATGGCAGGGTCCACATGCGGCTCCCCACCCCTCGCATGTCCATGTCACGCACCCCTCATACGCTTCATGGCGCAGTGAGGAGCACCACATACGGCCCCAGTGGCAGCAATAAGCGGCTCCCCGCGCATTTCGGCACTCTCCCCACACGCTTCGAGGCCATAGGGGGAACTCCACCCAAAGCCCCAGTGGCAAGGTCCACATGCGGCTCTTCACCCCCCACCCGTTTCGTGGCCCCATAGAGGGCTCCCCCTCCTTCGTCCCGCTGCCTTGCGGCACTCACAATTTTCTATGACTGGGTCCTTCGCCGGGATCAACTTCTTCTTGTTTCGCCCTTCGTTTTGGCTGCAGTTACTGCCGCTGCACTGAGGCCACATCGTCTAAGTCGGCTGCAATTCTTCAGCAATTCTTGCCGTACAGACGCTGCGATCATGCGTTCGTAGACCGCGCAACAAAACGATGAGATCGGGGCTGGACCCCCCTGCCCTGGAGAGTGGTTCCGTGGCGGCCCCATAAGGAGCTCCACCTGAAGCCCTCGTGGCACCGTTCGCCTGTGAGCGTCACCACTGTCCCAGCACACCCATCGCACACACACACACACACACACACACACACACACACACACACACACACACACACACACACACACACACACACACACACACACACACACACACACACACACACACACACACACACACACACACACACACACACACACACACACACACACACACACACACACACACACACACACACACACACACACACACACACACACACACACACACACACACACACACACACACACACACACACACACACACACACACACACACACACACACACACACACACACACACACACACACACACACACACACACACACACACACACACACACACACACACACACACACACACACACACACACACACACACACACACACACACACACACACACACACACACACACACACACACACACACACACACACACACACACACACACACACATCGAGGCAACATAAGGAGCTCCACCGACGGGCCAATGGCACGGGTCCGCGTGTGGGCGTCACGCCCGGTTCGGCACACTCCTCACGCGCTTCGTGGCCGCATAGGGAGCTCCACCTAAGGCCCCAGTGGCAAGGTCCGCATGTCGACTTCACCACCGTTTCGGCGCACCTTTCACACGCTTCGTGGCCCCATAGGGGGCTCCACCGAAGGCCCCAATAACAAAGTCGGCACGTGGGCGCCACGCCCGACTCCCCACACGTTTCGTGGTGCCATAAGGAGCTCCTCCGAAGTCCCCAGTGGCAGGGTCCGCATGTGGGCGCCACGCCCTTTCTGGTACACTCCTCTCACGCTTCGTGGCCCCATACAGAGAGCCCTACCGAAGGTCCCCGTGGCGGGGTCCGCAGGTGGGCGTGGCCCCCGTGTCGGCACACCCCTCACACTGTGCGGCCCAATAGGGAGCTCCACCTGAGGCCCCAATAGCAAGGTCCGCATGTGCGCGCCGCACTCTTATCGGCATACCGCTAACACGTTTCGTGGCCCCATAAAGGGGCCCCACCGAAGGCCCCAGGGGCACCGTTCGCATGTGGGCGTCGCATTCATTTCCGGCACACTCCTCACACGCGTCGTGGCCCAATAGGGAGATCCATCGAAGGCCCCCGTGGCACCGTTCGCATGTGGGCGTCGCTTCACTGACGACGGCACACGCCTCACACGTTTCGTGGCGTAGGCAGCTCCATCGAAGGCCCCAGTGGCACGTTGGGTCAGACCCATTTCGGCACACCCTTCGCACGTATCGTGGCCCCGTAGGGAGCTGCACCGGAGGTCCCAATGGCAGGATCCGCATGTGCGCGTCGCAACCCTTACGGCACACCCCTCAAACGCTTCGTGGCCCCAGGGGGAGCTCCACCAAGGCCCGAGTGGCAAACTCAGCATGACGCCTCGCCCCCCCTTGGCTCACCCCTCTCACGATTCGTAGCCCCCGACCGCACCGCCCCGTGATCCATCCCACTCAGGGCGCGCTGCCTATGAGGAGAGAGGGTACTTCGCCAAGCGAATCGTCCGAACCGACCCGTCTTTCGAACCAGGCTCGAACCATTATGTGAAGGACTCCACGCGGTTTGCTATTTTCGAACAGCCGTCCCGTTTAGCATGAATGCATGAATGAATGAAGCCGCGTGTCCGTAGGCACATGAGCAATGGCACGAGCGTGCGCTAGACAGTATACTTGCGCACCGTTGCTTTCCAGGCTTCCGCTGGAAAAGTGCCCAAATCTGAAAAGTTCCAACCAGAATTGCGACAAATCTGCTTAGCATGCTTAAACAATATGTTTAGCCTGATAACAAGTTAATTGGAGATGCAAGCCCCAAGTTGCCTGGCACCCGCTGGCACAGATCCAGCCCCACCACGGTGTGCCAGGCTCCGCGCGCCTAAAAAAACATAATTATTCGTTTCGTGCTGCGCCAGCCTGTCAAAAGCTGGGCGACCTTCTATCACTGCGGGGAGCTCCATCTAAGGTCCCAGTTGGTGCGGCCACATGCGGCTCCGCGCCCACCGCCTGTCAGTTTCGGCACAACACCTCACATGTTTCGTGGCCCCTGTGGGGAGCTCCAACTAAGACCCCAGCGGGTGCGGTCACATGCAGCCCCCGCACACCGCATGTCCAATCCGGCACCCCCCTCACACGCGCCGTGGCCCCATAGGGAGCTCCAACTGAGGCCTCAGTGGTTGCGGCCACAAGCGGCCCCCCGCCCACCGCACGTCCATTTCGGCACCCCCCTCACACGTCTCGTGGCCCCATGGGGAGCTCCACCGAAGGCCCAAGCGGCAGGGTCCACATGCGGCTCCCCGCCCACCGCATGTCCAGTGCAGTACACCGCTCACATGTGTCGTGGCCCCATGGGGAGCTCCCCCTAAGGCTCCAGTGGGTGCGGCCGCACTCGGCTCCCCGCCCACCGCCTGCCCGTTCGCGCACACGCCGTCACACGTCTCGTGCCCCCATCGGGAGCTCCACCTAAGGCCTCAGTGTGTGCGGGCACATGCGGCCCCCCGCCCACCGCATGTCCATTTCGGCACCCCCCTCACACGTCTCGTGGCTCCACGGGGAGCTCCACCTGAGGCCCCCGTGGCAGGGTAAGCATGCGGCGCCCCGCCCACCGCATGTGTCTCTTGGTCCCGTAGGGAGCTCCACCTAAGACCCCGGCGTCATGAACCACATGCGGCTCCCCACCCACTGCATGTACATTTCGGCACGCCCATCTCACGTCTCGTGGCCCCATGGGGAGCTTCCACTGAGGCTCCAGTGGGTGCGGCCACATGCGGCTCCATGCCCGCCAGATGTCCTTGTCTGCACACGGTTCACACGCTTCATGGCCCCATAGGGAGCTCCACAGAAGACGACATTCACAACTGCACCACTCACAACTGCACATGGTTGGATCATCCGCCAGGATAGGTACTGGACTCCGCCAACGCTTGGGCGGCCCGTTGGCGGATAAGAAAACAGGTGGCGTCCCATCTGTCAGTGTCAGGGATGCGCTGACCACGAGTAGCAAGGTCCCAGGACTCCTGTGCAGCCTGGCCAGCCAACTCGTCAGCAGACTCATTACCCGCCGCGAGAAGAACCTGGTCCCCCGACAAGGAGGGGTCAGTGGGATCCAGGTGGGAGGGGGTCCACATAACAGAAATCCCGTTCTCGCGGCCCTCTAGGGCCAAGCGGATACGAAACCACAGATCCGAATTCACACCACCGCTGTGACGGAAACGGCGCCGCCGCCACCCCTCTAAAAGGGGCTGGTTGCCGGTGACATACTCAAAATCCCACGGGGCGCTGCGGAGCGCCAGCTCACAGGGCAATAGCTCCGCCCTGGGGACCGTCTGACGGCGGCCTGAGATGGTGGAGGCCCAACCCTTTAGTCGGCACCACTTGGTGCCATCCCAGGCCACCAACACAGCGGCCGCGCCGTCACGTCGGCGGCGAAGGTCGGAGCTGAAGGCGCCTCCAGAGCCATCTCCAAAGACCCGCAGGAGCCCCGAAGGGGACCTGGCCGCAACGACAGAGGATCCTTCGACTAACGACGGCGACGACCCCACCTCCCAAGCCACATCCGCCCCTCCGCCCTTGAACACAGGGCAAGTTAAAGACCTAGGAGGCA